ATTCGAATAAAAAAGTTATTTCATACGCGCCTTACCTTTTCCACGGTCTCTTCGATGTTGCTGTGCAGGTCCACAATCTTCCTGGCAATTGAATAGTCAATGAGTTCGTTGCATTCATCGATCAGAATGAAGAACAAATCGAATCTGGACATGATGGGGGCCGACAGCTGGATGTTTTGCTGGAGCGACCGGGAACGGTCGTATCGCCCCCCAGAGGGGTTGGCTGCCGCCAGAATCGAAGTCCTGGCATTAAGAGTTGCCCTGACACCTAAAAAACCGGTCAGACAAGCGGAAAAACTCTGCTTTAAACTCATACCTGCTTTGGCAATAGAGATCGTTTGCTGCTCCATCGCTTCGTGGATGGCCACCTGATCTCTAGGGTCCATTTTATCGAACTCATCAATGCAACAGACACCGTTATCGGCCAACATCAGGGCGCCCGCTTCAATAACAAAATCGCCGGTTTCTTCGTCTCGCACAACTGCTGCTGTTAAACCGGCGGCAGATGAAGCCTTTCCTGGCATAGAATTGAACGTTTTTGACCCGATAATTTACAGGGCTGACGTAAAGTTACCTGATGTGTACACTGCCCGAGGGGCAAACTCAGACACTTGCTTCAAAAATTGGCTTTTTGCTGTGCTCGGGTCTCCGACGATGCAGCAATTGATGTCTCCTCTCAAGGAAGTGCCCTCCTTAGTTGTCTTGGACACTCCCCCAAACAGCATAAGCAAAATGCCCTTTTTCACCTACAACTCAACTTATGGCTTACAGGAGATTGACTCGCTACTAATCCACTACCTCATCATTGCCATAAATGCTTGGAAATAAGCTGGTGATCATATTTTGGTACAAGTTCCTGTCGTGGGACATTTCGTACATGTGCCTCCACTCCCCTTCAGTCATTTGCTGGCGCATAATTTCGGGAGTAATATCGCCTAAAATCACATTTAATGCACTTCAGAGATTCAAGCTCAGAAAAGGGCACCTGCCTACCCATCGGCAGATCGATTCCCCCAAATTTGGGATTCGTGGCCTGCACACTGCAAGCCAAAAACGCCATCCGGTAGTGCAGATCTTTCACGCCCAGAGCCTTCAATCCTCTCACACCTTCAGCCTCATCACCGTGCTTGTGTCTGGAAGCGATTTGCGTTTTTGCGCCCGGCAGGGCCATTGCCCCAACATCCGGAACGACTATCACTGTTCCAGTGAAATCGTATCGATCCCCGGCCTAAAACAGATCCTGTATTTCCTGGGGGAATTTAGTGGCAACGCCTCGATTCACCTGAACGCTCTCAACATTTTCCTCTCTCAGGATTACTTCGACACTCCTCGGAACGCAGCCCCTGGGGAGCTCAGCTTGCGTCTCTTGTATCCTCACTTTTTGGAAGTCTACGAACTGGGACTTGTCCAAGTCCAACATGAACCTCGACCGGTTGTTGCAGACGGGATTGCGGCAGATTGTTGGGTTTGTGTACTGAAACCAGCACTTTGCTGTTGTGCGTCTAGGGGCGAGTTTAGCGCTGCCCTTACCCTGAATTGCTGCTCAATATTCTTGATAACCGTCTGACAGTCCAGGCACACAAAGGTGCCGGAGACGAGCTCCGGATGGACGGGATGTGTGCGGATTACTTGTCCAGAAATCCGAATCAGAGTGCCAATTTTGTCAGTTTTCAGCTCTCGCACTACGTGCCTGGTTGGCACGTCGGTGAACGCAATGTAGCACTGCTTGGGCTTTTTCAGCTCCGTGCGGTCTTTCACAAAGTTGGCCACAGCTTGACACAGATACGGGTAGACCCTGTAGTACTCCTCTATGACTGTAGTAGCCAGGTTTTGGTTGTATTTCTCCACATCGTCGAAGTTCACTTCAATTATGCTGCGCTCTTCGTTTTGCAATTCCTTGGCGGGCTCCAGATATTTCAGCTCGCCCTCTTCTCTGTACCTAGAAAATGCGTAAGCCGTTATATGGGGGGCTGATCGAAGGTGTTGTCTGGCATACTCTTCCAGGAAGTCCTGGAACAGCTTCTGGCAGCGAATGCCGATTTCATCGCGATGCTGGCGCTGGCCTACATTTACATCGGCAACATCCATTGTACAAAGCAGTTACTGCACTAATCACGAAACAACAACAGCAATCAACAAACAACTGGGATAAAGGCGGTAAAACGGTTTAAACTGAGGTGAATTAAGGTTAAGCACTGACGAAGTGTCAAGTATAGACATCAAGGCAACTGGCAAAGTCAAAAGCAATGTAGCCAATGGTAGAAAGACAAATAGTTACTCTCGAAGTTCAATAGGTTACTCTCGAAAGTTCTTGATGGATGTCAGCAGTGTCAAATTTTATATACAAAAAGTCAATAATTTATAATATTTACAAATAGTTCAGTGTCCTAATTTCCATTTGATTAATTTCGTGTTGTTATCAGGTATAAATTAGGCAACAGGCTTTCACCAAACCCTTCTAAAATGGGATTCTGAAAACGAAGTGTTTGTGTTGTTATTTGGAAAGTTGCTCTAATTATAGTTATGGCTGAAGCTGTTGCTAAAGTAGAAGAACCCAGCACTCCAAGTAAGCACTTAGTTAATGCGAAACAGAGTATTTTACTCGACATTCTGACACTGAAGAGTTTTTTCAGCACGAGTGGTTTGGAGCCTCATAGGCTTCAGGCAACAGACCCCCGAAAAAACCGTTCAGTATCAGAATGTCGAGTAATTTTCCTCAAAAAACTAGCTAATGAAAACTTTTAGGCGATAAGCCTGAATGTGCAGTATGCCTGCAGCCCTGCGTGCACCCCGCCCAACTACCCTGCGGACATATCTTCTGTTATTTGTGTGTGAAAGGGTTTGCGAATCAGAATAAAAGATGCGCAATGTGCCGTCAAGAAATCCCAGTGGATTTCATAGAGCAGCCGCGTCTTCTGCAGGCGCCCCAGCCCCAAGATCTGGCCGAAACGTTCGACGGGGGCTACCAGTGGTTTTACGAAGGCAGAAACGGTAAGGCCCCAATTGGCACTCGAGATAAGAGAGAGGCGTAATGAACTGAAACAATTCAATGAAAATTTGAAACTTGGTTTTGTTGCAAGGTTGGTGGAAATATGATGAAAGGTCAACGGAAGAGATTGAAGAGGCTTTTAAACTGCAACTGCCCCGATTTGATTTGATTATTTGCGGTCATTTATACGTTATAGACTTTCAAAATTTGTATCAGTACCCCAAAGGCCATCCGAGCAGAAAGCGGTCGATTCGACGGGATACTAATAGGAATTTGGTTGTTAAAGGGGTGGCCGGATTGAGCAAATAATTTATTCAATACCCACTCATCCTCCCTCTGTGAATCTCTGATCTGCATACAGCAAACCCCTCATTCTCCCACTCAGTTTTTATCTACTATAATACTAACGTATTAACATTTATAGTTCTACATAAAGCGATTGATGTATTATCTATTATTTGTAGCAGTGTTTGAAACAAACGCTTTAGATTATCTCTGTTTCAATAAATGTTACGAATAACATCAACTAGTGTTTAATTGATCAAAAAAACTCGATTTTAGTATTCTAGGCTTTGAAATGCCTTTCTATGGTACTCGCTTACAGGTTGGTGGCAGTACGATGAACGAACCAGCAAAGAAATGGAGAATTCCTACAAGAACGAGGACAAAACCGTTGAATTGCTCATTGCAGGCTTTCTCTATGTTGCGGATTTTGAAAATATGGTCCAAATTAGGCGCAATGACCCTTCGAGGAGGCGACAAATCAAACGGGATTTCTCGACTATTAGCAAAAAAGGTACCCAATCGATACGAAAAATGAAACTTCAAATTTATTCCTTTTTAATGTCTAGGAGTGGCAGGGATTAGGACTAATTCTCCTTGCGAGCGCCCTGCACTTGAGATGCACCCAGTTAGCTCCACGGATCACATTAGTGTTTTACCAGCCACCCCTTCGAATAGTCCTCAAAGTCCGTCAAGTGGCCAAGAGTCTCCGAATGGCGAGGCGAATTTACGGGCTACAGTTGATTTAATCAGCAATTTGAGCAACTTGACGCTCAACTGCAGGGCAACGTCGTTTGGCGAGGACAACGAGAGTGAAGTGGAATAACTTTAAATTATGTGCAAAGGAAAGCGTTTATATGTAAGATTTTTTTTAAATACTAAGCCATTAAATATTTTTGATTCAGAGCCGTTTTTGCCTTGATTTTTCTTCGACCAATTTAAGCGCAAAGGTGTCAACTGGGAACGTAGCATGAATGCGGACATTTTGCTTCTCTGATAGACCCCCGTGGGTGGGAGTGAGAAATCCGCTGCAAACTACGTTCCCGAATGGCAAATGAATTTCATTTTAGGCAACTTTTTGCAGAAGCCCGCAGTATTTATTAGTTTATTCAACCAAAGACAAGTGACACGAAACAATGTATCTATTAAATAGTTTAATTCGTTTTTTGGTCGAGTTGGGAAGATCCCGAGTTTTTCACCAAAACTGCATTTTAATAATAAAAAAGTTTCCCATATGCTGGAAACTTAAGTGGACACACAATATATGCATATAACAAATTATTTAAAATGTACCGGCGTTTTGACTATGCTACCAACTAGAAGACAAATAGATACAAAATCAGCCTGAAAAGACAGACATTTTTTTTGCAACGTGAAAATCATTTTTTTATCCAGAAGCAAAACCCCTCACTGAACGATTACCAAAAATATTCATTTAGCATCAAGAACATTAACTTTTATAATTATTAAATGTACCAATGCCCTCCAGCCAGAGCGTGTCCTTTTCCCTCATATCGTACGAAGCAAGAGAGAAAATGTTTTTGCCAAATGCCAGCGCCTGAAAAGTCATGTGTTGTGTCGAAAGTTTGTAGCCTTGTGTGATACAGTGAATTCAAGTGAATTATTACCAAATCAACAATAGCCAGTGATAATTAAATGAGTGGTTTGAAAGGGAATAGTGGAGTTGAGCACCATTTCACTGTTATTACGATGAAAAGGAAACGACAAAGGCCAGTCTCGGCTTGCTAGAATACGTGAAATGGCTGATTTTACCTGGTAAGGGCGCTCCTTTCTAAATTAATCGGTTGCAGTAACTGATATCATTACGGCTGGCTTAATCAGGTGTCGACATAGTGGAACCAAATAGGTTACAGATTACATTTTGGGGGTGTTGTCAGGGTTTTGTTCAAGACTGCGTTGTTTGCACCCAGGTATCCTTCAAATGGAAAGGCTTACTCCATGATGAGCAACAAACATGCAGAAAGGGAAATTACTTTGTATTCACTCGCAGATGTTCAGCTAAGGTTTCTATGCCCTGCGGATCTAGATGAGGTGCGAACACGCTGCCAAGACTGGTTTCCCATTGAGTACCCACTGTACTGGTATGAGGAAATTACCTCCAGTAACAGGTTAGAGGCAGGAGTGGGCATTGCGGAATGGACTAATTGAAACAGTGGTGTTTCAGTCACTTCTACTCATTGGCCGCAGTGTATCAGCAGCAAATCATCGGACTGATAGTGGCGGAAATCAAACCTCACTCCTACTTGAATGACGAAGACACTGGCATATTGGCGAAATGTTTTAGTGATTGTGATATAGCCTATATCCTCTCCCTGGGTGTATTGAAAGAGTACAGGAGGAATGGCATTGCCACTCTGCTGCTGGATTCGCTGCTGAAAAACTTAATGACCCCGGAAAGGCGGAAGGTAAAAGCTGTTTTTCTACATGTATTAACCACGAATTCAGCAGCAATCCATTTTTATGAGAGAAGAAAGTAAGTATTGTAAACGCACAAGAGCCGCAACGGGCCAGGCAGTGGGGTACTAAACAGTCGCGTTTTGCAGATTCAGACTTCATGCCTTTTTACCGTACTATTACTCGATTAAAGAGCGATACAAAGATGGGTTTATGTATGTTTTGTATATCAATGATGGACAACCTCCATGGACTTTATAATATCCTTTTACTGCAATTGTAATTTAGACATTCGAGTTTCTTTTTGACTTACCGGTTAGTTTCCCGTTCAGTTGCCAAGGCGACTCGGTAAACTCCGGCGCGCCTCGGGAGTGGTTGGTCCGCACTGATGACTCCCTTTCTCACACAAGAGAGTATCTCGTTCCTTGTCTTTGCATTTTAACGCCTTCAGACGTCATTGAAACACCCGTATGCGATTATCAACCTTGCCAAAAAGTCACATTTTTACACTGAGATTTTTCTGATTGATTCGCGTTTTTCTGCGACCAGTTCACGACCAAACGGATCCCTCTAAAATCCCGTATCGGAAAATCACACACTTGCACTAGAATCGGGCAATTTTGCAACGATTTTCCGGAAAATTTGCACATCTTTCGGCAAAGGTGCTGACGCGTCTTGTTACTACAGCCAAAATGGACGATCCACCTGCGCAGTTGATTCGAATAATTTTCCATATACAGGGTGTTTCATTAACAACACTTATAGGGCGTCTGGGTGTAGTTGTTGTTGCGACCAAAAAAGTACGTTGGGTTTCAAGTGTAGGGTCAGAAAATGGAAAGATCAAAATTCAAAATTTTGGCTCGCCCAAGAGATCCAGGGGAAAATAAAAAAAACTGGCAATTTTAAAACGGCCCCATATTTGCTTATTTAAAACAGATGCAGAACAATGCGTTGTACAAAAGCGTCTTTCAAATGATTGCATGTATCGGAATCAGTATACCGGGTGAGGTAACAAAGTTAGCGGACCTAAGCTCATTTTTTCCCATGAACACCCAGTATATTTTCATCTAAAAATACAGCATTTGAATTATCTTTTCAGTAATATGGACCCAATAAAACACCCTGTAGCGGGTGGGTCAATTTTTAACTTGTAGCACTCTGTAAATAGATTAATTTTCCTTAACGCTTCGTACCGATTATATAAAATTCATGTGTGGACGAGTAGCGAACGGAGCAGGATTTTTTCCATGGGTGCTCCTTAACGTGCACAAGGCTTTGGGATGGTTGTGGGGACATCACGAATCAACCGAACAAGATCATCACTAACCACCGGCTAGTCCACAATATGATCACGATCATTTCGATGATACCAATTTTAGTTCTCTGTACCTGCAGTTTTCTGCCAAAAATATGTATAGCGAATTTAGATGAATTTTACCGAAATAACCGATCACCAAATTTCACAGTTTGCTTCTAAGGTATTTATGAAAATTACTATATAAAGTGATATAATGTTTATATGTTGATTAGTTTTTTGTTATTTAGTTGTATTTACATTTTCTATACTATGTTAAACACAATGAAACCTCCCAAGCTTACTGGTTGAATAATAAAATTTTCCAATTATAAGTACGTTTAATGATTCCCAATCGGCTCTTAATAGGATAGAAAAAATCCTAAATTATGATCGGCCTTAAAAGTAAGTAGATTCGGTACTTCCTTGCTGAAAGGCATCTAATGCAATAGTTGATGCAATTAACAGCTAGATCTAACAATGACATTGTGCGATTGACGAGCGAATGAGTTCATGGGTTCTACGAAGTTGCAAAACGTATGAGTTCATAAGTAATCTTAAACCTAAAGTTGACTTAATCAATCAAGCAAGCTTACCCACAGGTTTCAAAGTCTTTCCTGCTTAAATGCAAACCGCTCACAATCCCGCTACTGACTACATACTAAGGCATAAAGAAACATCCCTTACCGCAACCAATCAGTAACAACATCTAAACCTTCGAGCGCTTCTTCGCTATTGCGTCCTCAACAGCCTTCAGCTGTTTCAACAACTCCTCCCTTCTGGAAGTCGCCTTTTTCGCTTTGACGTCGCCCTGTGGCGGCGATGTGGGCGCGCGCTTTTTACCAGCCGCTTCCGCCTTCCGTGCATCCCTTGGCTCGGCTTTGCGCACCCCCGGCGGGTTCTTCAAGTTGAGTTTGATCTTATTTTTGCCGATTGCGCCCCCTTTCAGCGCGTCGATCGCTTTAACAAACTCTACAAACAATGGGGCAATGAAAACTGATGCGCTGAAAAGCTGGCGACGCACTCACCAGAGGCTTTGCGAGCGTCGCGGACCGGCGTTGAATTGCTGCGGCTGGACGACGAGCTCGACTCGCTGCTGTCCGATTCACTCGAGCTGCCCGAACTGGATCCGGAACTGGACTTTACAGAGCGCTTGCTTTTGCCTTTGGCTCTAACTAGAGCGGCGGCCACCGCCAGTTTGCTGCGTGCTTGCCCGATGTCTTCTCGTGAGGGTGCTGGTGGGTTGGCCGCTGCACTCACCCGCATCATACCTAAAACATTCCAGCCGTCAGCTCTACCAATCTCAATCACTATTAGACGAGAAGTAAACCACCCGGCAAAACGCGATTGATTATACGAAAATTCGACAAAAATTGATTTCCATTCGTTCCGTCTGTCCGATGCAAACAAAAGCGAGTAGCGCAAACAGCGCGAGCGAGCTTCAAGTGGTTTACCCCTCGCTGAACCGACACCAAAAGCACAAGAACCGATTTGAACACGCTACATCAAGTGCGCTGTGTGCACATTCCTCGATAACTGAGCGAAACTTGCGCCAAACCGCTGTTGCCACTCTACACCACAACAACTTCAAGTTGCACTCCACCCAATTACCTTTGAATTTTAAATATTTCAGCAGACTCGGAAATACTGTTAATAATAGAGAGTTTTACGTCAACTCAGTCTCTATAGAGTACGAACTGTCAGTCGCCCCCCACTCCCCCACTAACCTGGTGAAGGTGCCCGCCGCTTGGGGGCGGGAGGATTCATAAGAGCTGCACGCTCATTGGCTGCTTTCCTCTCAGACACGATGACTGAGGGGGAAACATGTCTGCCACCTCGCTGCACCGATCCCGATCGTTCCTTGCGATACGCTGATCTGGACCGAGACCGATATGAGCTCTTGCTGCTGGGCGACGAACTCCTAGAAGAACTGAGCATTTTCTTAAAATCCTACAGACAAGTAGGCGACTCAACTTACCTGCTGCTATACGAGCTCGATCCAGAACTGTACGACCGCTTCCGGTCTTTTCGGCGTCCAGGCGATTTCGACCTCATCCACGGATCCTGCCAGTCGTCAGCTCGAGCGGGGCGCTCCTCTTTTTCGGCCCTTTGCACTGAAACACCATGAGAAATAAGAACAAGGTTTGAAAGAAAATCACTCAGTTCAGCTACCAATCACTTCGCGCTTTGGCTTCCGTCTTTCTCGCTCGCGCTCCCGAACCTCCGGTCGTTCGTGGGGCCTTGGGGGCGGCTCCTCTTCATATTTGGGCGGGTAATACTCGGGTGGGGGGCCCCTGGGTGGCGGCATCTCGCGGTACGGCCGCGGATGCTCGCGCCTGATTGGCGCATACTCTGGCTCGTACACTATTGGTCTGCGCGAGTAGTATTCTTCTGGTGGGGGTCTTGGCACGCTGTACTCCGGTAGGTGGCGCACATATCGGGGTTCCGGCGACGGCACTCTGCCATAGTAGCCGTTCTCTTTGTCGAACTCCTCCTGAGCTATGCTAAGGTTCATTTTCTTCTCCTCAAAGTCGATGTCCTGCTCCTTTCGGCGCATCGATTTTTTTAGCATCTCTTTTGCAGTCCTCAACCCTAAACAAGCGGCCGGTTTAGATCGATTCACTTGAATTGGGCGGGGGTAATTACCGCGCTCCCAAGCCGACTCTACTAGCGGGGGCTCCGGCTTGTAAAGCCTTTCGTCTGCCATTCGCCCCATGCCATATTCGCCAGGCAACATTGGTCTGACCATATCGAACATTGTGTAGTTACCTAGAGGCAAGAATTCGATAAGTTTAGTGAAAAACCTAATTTTCATGCAGCACTATTTCTCCAATTCCAATTCTTACTTACCTTTGTCGGTAACTCCTGGATGGAGAAATCTGCAGCTGGCGCCCCAAGTACAAGCGCCCCGAGAAAAGAAGCGACAGACTGGCCTTGGCTCAGTCTCCTCCGGCCGGGCGTCGTCCTCGTCCGACACCTCTCCCTCTTCAAGTTCCTTCTCCTCTTTGGGCGGAACGGCTTCGCCGTCCTCTTCGCCCTCCTCCTTCTCCTCCTTGTCGCCATCCTTGGACTTGACGTCGTCACACTCGCCATCTTCTGCTTCAAAATCCAGCTGTTCTTCGTTTTCGTCGGGACGAGCCGTGCCCAGCGACGCTTCGCTCACCTGTCGATTGATTGCCTGATTAAGGAAACATTGATCAAAACCGGCTTATTCGTTGTTCACCTTCTTATCGCCAGCCGCAGATTTCAGTTCGTCGGCAAGGACTTTTTCGGTTTCACTCGATTTCTGTGCCTCCTCCTTGTTGTCTTTGGGGATTTCGTCCTCCTCATCGAACGTGCCCCCCATGGAATCCTCCAGGTCGGACACATCGGAGAGATCCTCGTGCGAGATGTTGATGTCCGGTTTCTTGGCTTTCTCGACTGGAACTGCTGGCTTCTCCTGGTCAGACTCCATGTCGCCTGCACAATGTCAATTAAAGGTAAAATCAGCTGCGGTCTTCACTCACTGTTGCTACCGTCCGAAATATCTTCAGGTTTGGTGTCGGCTGATCGCGATATGTCCTTGTTTTTTCTGGACGATGAATCCACGCTGCTGACACTGGAATCTGAGTCGCTGCCGCTTCGACTGCGTCTTCTGGTCGGCCCCGAGCCTCTGGAGCTCGATCTGCTGGAGCTTCGCCCTTTGGATTTACGCGATCCGCGACTTCTGGTCGATTTTCTAGAACCGTCCGAACTAGCCGATCTGACCGAAGCATTGTCGCCACTGCCTGAGCCCTGGAAACACGTACATTATCAAGATTTCCTAGTTTTCCTTTGTTGAATAAAACTACCTGGCGTGTGTTGCGTAATTCCTCTGGACTTCTGGGGCCTCTGGGCCCTTTAAACGGCCGACCTGAATAAACACAGGCAAATTTACCAGGTTTCTTGACCAACTGCTGCTGAACTTACCAGCTGAATTATCACGCGAAATGCTTCTGGATTGATTCCCGGCTCTGGGTGGGCTACTTCCAACAGAGCCGCGCGAATGGGGCCGTGACTGACCCGAATCTGGCGATTTAGGGGAAGGCGGCCGACTGTTTTGCGGGCTAGATGGGGAGGGCGACCCTCCATACGAGGAACCCGAGTTGGATCTAAGCGCGTTTGAACTGTTGAAAAATCGGTCTACTTGAAACGCTCTGATTCTCACCTGCTTCTGATCCCGTCCGGGCTAGGCGATTTGGGACTTTGGGGCCCATTTTCAGACGCATGCACATTCAGTGGACTCTTAGGAGACGTCGACCGTGACCGACTGCCAGACTCGCGGTTCCTTGATCTGAAAATTGCCCTATTTAAGGCTGCAAGTTGCTAGATGGTCAGTTGAATGTTACCGGTTGCTTCTAGGGGTTTGAGGCCCACTGGCAGGACTTTGAGGGCGACTAGATCCACTAGGCGATCTGGTATTGTTGCGACTTCTGACTTCCTCATTATCGCTTTCATTGCTAGACGACCCGCTCCGGGAGTCGTCCGAATCCACCACCGGCATAATTCCAACTGAGAATAAACGACTTGTTAGGGAATACTTTACTGGCAATGAATAGTGGAAAACCTTTTCAGCTCTGGTGATAGTTGTTGTGACTGAATGACTAAAGCATGGAGAAGGAACAAGGAAAAGGCCCTAAACCCTCCCAACTTCGATTGGTTTCTAACTTACCTGCAGCAAACTATTAGGAATTGTGGGTTTGAAGATAATTTCACACTGACATACCTACCAAATCGTAATCCTGCGGGAATTAAAGAGTTAATATCCGTGATAGAGCACATGTTAGCAGGGGGTTAAGGGATATTTAGTACTAGTCAATGAGGACTAAAAGGGCCACAACGATCGGTTGCAGGTCTTTTAGTTGGGTGCTGGCTGATCTGAAGACAACGTGTTTCTAAGGGCGTAAAAATGAAGATGAGTGATGAAAGGAAAGCAATGGCGAGTGAAACCATTTGAACATGAGTAGGAAAGCTGAAGCAAATCAACCAGTCCTGATGAAAAACAATAAAAAGCTTAAACATTACGTAGAAACATATGTTTAATCATTGATTTGGGACCGTTGTAGCCTTTGTTGTAGCGTTGATCTTACCTGAGAAGAGCTGCCAACTTCTCTGTTACCATTTAAACACTTCAAAAAGAAAATGTGCAGCTGCATCTTGCTGGTTAAACGATATTTCCAATACTACTTAAAATACTTTAAACTGCATGTGACTTCATTACTCACGACACAAACTACTGGGAGTCTTTCGCGTACTTTAAATTCGAACTACATAATCGGTAACTGGCGGACATTCGACTAACTGTATACATGAGAGCACAATTTATTTTGATGGAAACGAACTTGGTATTTCCACTGTAAATGACACAGACTTGCCTGCCTTACCTTTTTAGTGCTTCAGGATTACTGCGAAATGGTTTGATATTGAAAATCTCTTATATTTGTTGAACAATGCTGATTTCCTGACGGCTTTTCAACTTAGCAACTTTGACAATGAGATCAACATGGCGGCCTGTCGCCGAATTGCCACATCCATTCCAAATCCATCCTTAAATTGAACACTAACTGGACAAAACGCTGTTTTATTTCTATTGCATTAAATCAACGCGTTCAGACTAAGATACACTTAGATTGTTGGCGGGCCACATAAAACATAGCTCTTAGAGACAGAATTTTTAGAGAAAAAACTAATGAACCAATTCGGTTTTGATGGACTTTTTCGTGAATCCGACAGCAGCGCAAACAACGTCAACCATGTCAACTCATCAGCATTGCCATCGTTTTCATCACTCTATTCAATAAAATTTACATTTAGTCACGTCGTCTCTAGTTTTGCGTGGGTTAAAAAGAGAAAGCGACATTAGCTGACCAACCGGTCTAGCTAAAAGCCCTACATTGAAGCATGTTGGCAACAACCCGAACTTTTGCAATGATTCGAAACTAGCAGAGCCGCAGAGCCTAACCTCTGTGATCCAGAAATAAAGAAAAGTTATTGTTTACATCAAACAAAATAAAATAAATACATAACATCCTCTAATGCAAAAAGCAGTTGATCGCAATGACGACAGCGCTTCAACAGCAAGTGTTCGCTTTGGATGCGCGATTTAACGCCCAAAGGGCCCCAAGCAGCCCGAATTTCCGTAAGTGTGCTGAACAATATTTAACAACTAGATCAGAGCTTCATAAATGCGTGCTCGGCTAGGAACCCTTTACATAAGACGCCGCAGTCAGCTACTAAGAGAAACACTCAGAAGCACAGACCAATGGAAAGCCTACCTCAGACTGCGGTCCACCCTTTTACTGCACCATTATGGCAACGCCCGACTGGAGCTGGGGTCAACTTCCAGCTTGTCTCAATCGGTGAGTCTCTAGGGACGATCAAAAGATGAATATATTTGACCCAGATGTCATTTTAGATCTGCACTGTGCCCCCCGAGTGGGCCTCATCCATTCCCTGGCCGAACAGAGACATTCTCGTGCCGACCAAACAGGCCGAGGCCTCGAGGGCCATAGTGGGCGACAACAGCATAGCTGATAATTATGCCTTCAGTGGCGTTCACCATATTTTCGACCAGGTAGGGGGGCCATGGACACGGCAAACTGGGCATTAGCGTTGGGCTCTTTAGCATGTAAAAGCGGTGACAATGGTGAAATTTGCGAACAATGAACGCTACAGGCTGTGCTGCAGCTCCTTGGATGGCAACCTGTCTGTTTGCGACCTATCCAGCGATCCTCCCAAGATTCTAAGGGTACTGAAAGGGCACACCGCGGCCGTTCCAGGTACATGCGAGTCCCACCCAGACCGCTAGATTACATGCTATATTGTTGTAGCTTTCGAGTGGTCGGCGAACAATGACTTTATTGCCAGCGTGTCCCTGGACGCAACCATTCGCCTGTGGAAATCCGCGGACTTCAGTTGTCTCCGCACACTGGCGGAGCCCCACGGCGCCCAGATTTTGTGCTGCATTTTCCAGCCGAGCAACAACAACCTGATCCTGATCGGCAACAGTAGGGGCGAGATCCGAATCGTCAACGTATCCACGGGGCTTTTTCTGAAGAACTGTTGCAAAGTGGGCGGGTGCATCCTAACTATCACGTCGGACACCAATGGCAAAATCATATGGGCAGGTAGGCGATGCCAGCCCCCAAATTCCTCTAGTAGGACTCAGTTTCGTGGCACATCCAGGCAATGATAGAGGGGAAATCCTCTCCATCTTCTGCGAAGTGAACGGGGGCTTGTGCAAAGGCAAAAGGATCACTCTGGACCCCAACTGCTACATAACCAGCCTCAGCTATCGCACGTGGATTAGCAGAGAAGCCCGAGATCCCATGCTGTTGGTCAACGCCACCAACAACTCCATGTGCTTGTTTAGGTAGGCCAATAAGACCCAATTAGCGGGCCATGCGACAGCTCACTTCTACTCAACAGTGTGGGCGACTACGAAGGCAGCCTCCAGCTGAAGAGGAAGTTTCAAAACCGGCACCGAAAGCACGTGGTCAAGTCCACCTTTTGCCCCATCATGTCCTTCAGGCAAGGCGCCTGTGTTGGTCAGTGTCCTTCAGCCGCTCCTGCTCGGTTCATTTGCAATGTTTGCTTCAGTTACCGGCAGCGAGGATGGAAGCGTGTACTTTGTGGACGTGGAAACATCCAGCAGCAAAGCGGTGGTTAACACGCTTCAGGGCCATTCCAGCACGGTGTTGAGCATCAGCTTCAACAGCGACGAGTCTCTTCTGGCCACCAGCGACCTGGATGGCCTGATAATTATTTGGAAGCGAGGCCACAAGTAGGACGCCAGGCAAAGAGTGGGGACCGGTAAATAGGCTATTTATATTGTTCCTTTCAAATACAACGGAGTGATTCAGCAGTTGCATCGCTTTTCAGTAACAGGCTTAAAAAAGAAACTCAATTATTTCCCCTTGTGCAATTGGTTTTGGCCCGGCAAATCGCCTGAAGGCTGAACTGATATCGGGCTCGTTGCCCGGACAACCCGCTTGATTTGCTCTGCGTGTGCGGTTTGGGACCGGCAAACGTGCACGATCGGAATCGCACTTTTAATTTTTAGTTAGTGAGACTTGATTTTTGCTCAGAGCAAAAAAAAAAATGAGCTGGTGCGTTTTTAAACAGCCGGTGGCGCTGCTGGAGGGGATCTTCTTTGCTAATCCGATTTCGTCCTAAGAATGGATTACCTGGCGTAAGAGAACGGGGGTTTTTTACTGCATTGGTCCACTCACTCCTTGAGCTCTTCCAGCTTCTTGGACAGTCGCTCGTTCTCTCTGCAGACGAGTTCGTGATCCCTTTGCAGCTGTTCGCGCGCAGTGAAAAACTCGTTGTTCTTTTTGCGAAGCTCCGCATTTTCCTTCACGTACAGCCGCACCAGTTCAGTGAGTTCGTTCCACTCCAAATTGCCCAGATCGGCAAAGTCCACATGCGGGGGAGTTTTCAGCGGGCTTTGCTCTGAAATAGCCGGCAATTAGGGGACGTTTGGCGGAAAAACGCCCAACCTACCGCCAGAGCTGGGAGTTGAGGAGGAGTAGATGTGCAGCGCAGAACGCAGGTGTTTGTTCTCGTTTTGCAACACATCAATTTCGCGCTTCAGGCTCAGAATCAGGGCCTCACGCGGGTCCTAGACAAATTGAGGAAAAAACACTCGCTTTGAGATTGGCGGTTGGTGCGGCCTACCATGAGCACCACGGGTTTTGTTCGGATTTCCTTAGCTCTGGCCGCGTAGCGCAGAGTGTTAACGGTTTCGCAGGCATTCGACTTGGCTGGGGAAATGCAGGCGATCTGCAAGAATCCGGATCAGTTGTCGGTCGGGTTTTGCAACTGGGGGCAATTTACCATTAAAGTAGCCCCATTCCCAGCCAGCGAATCTGCGAGCAGTTTGGTCAGCTTTGAGTCCCGGTACGGGATGTGGCTGCTTCGCTTCTTCGGGTCGCTTAAGGTCGCTATGCAGTATCCTGAAACGGGCAATTAGACGCGTGAATTTTCCAGTAAATCGGGCAAAAATCAATGCCTTAAACCCTTCCTGGTTGTGTCAAGCAGACGCAGGAGATTTGCATAGGTTTTTCGACTAATTGAAACAGCTTTTCCAGAAGGCACGCAATGGTTTTGCGCAATTAATATTTTCATTAGGGTGGCGGTTCAACGTCCGTTGAGGTTCAGGGTTAATAGCCAGCAGCAATGCGACTTTCTCCCGCCCTGCAGACACGCACGGCCTCAACAAGTGGGCGATTAATCGACTCACCCAATACCATCAGGCTTTTGTTGATGTTGTTCGCTTCCTCCAGCATCTTGCCCTGGCTTTGCGTCTTCTTGGTCATCTCGCTGCCCGCCAGATCCACAAAGTTGATCTTGCCAGTTCTGGATATGAAGACGCCGTTTTCCGCCGGCAGCTCCGAGCTGATGTGGACCGTCAGAATCGTGTGGCTTCGACTGCAACCCGCCAACATTCAACAATGAAACTCTTCGAAATGTGATTAGTCACCTGGAATAGTCGTTCATGTTGTGGCGGCCGATTGAGCGGTTCCTTAGGCCTTCTTCCAGCACGGCGATCAAGTCGTCCAGTTCCTCGCAGTCGACTGTGAAGAGATTCTCCACGAAGAACCCGCAAGCCTTTTTGCTCCATCTCACAGCCAGCGGCTTCCGCAGCGAGCCGGAATTCAGCAAATCAATCACCTAAGTGGGCACTCACGAGGCAATCAGAACATTTCCAATTTTGCTCAATGCATTTCCTGCTACCTTCTCGTTGTAAATCTCCAAGTAGCTGGCTTTGAGCACGAAGTGCGTATCGGACTGCAGCTGGATTTGCTGGAACAGATACTGGAAGGAGCGGAAGATCAGGCCGTGGTTCTCGCTGTACGGCACTGTTCTGGTCCCGATCTAACATGCCAAAAAACACCGTCTAAAGCCGAGAAAAGGAGAGATAATGTTGGCAGTTACCAGGCCTGGGGGTCCGGTTAGAGTGTGGGTTTTCCCGCTGCCGGTTTGGCCGTAGCAGAAGCAGGTGCAGCGGAACCCTTCGATGGCCATCGAAATCAGCCGCTTCATGCCGGAGAACTGAAGAACGTCCTCCTGAGTGGCACCCGGCTCGAAAACCACATTGTAGGAGAAACGTTTCGGCTTGTGGCTGTCGCTCCCGGTGCGGGCGCAATGGTCGACCTGGAACCAAATGGGTGATCCAAGCAAATGCACATTTCCCCAGTAATCGCCTACCATTATTTGGCCGTTTCCCGGAAAGTCCACTATCTGAGTGTCGCCCCGTTGCATTTCCTTCTTGCTCAGCGGCCTCACCCTGCAAAGTACAGCGCAAGAACGTGTAAAGTTGAGTATGAACAAGTTTAAATGCCCCAAAAGGAAGCTTCAAATGCGGTACCCAGATAGCATTTGATATTCTATGAATATCCCAGAATGATCAAAAAATATACAGAACATTGCGGGAATATCCTGAGAATATACATAGGTGAACATTCCTAACAAGAATGTTCGTGGAATATACATGCATGTATATTCATCAAAGTTCATAAAAAGTATATCCTAGGTATGTACATATATGTACATATTGGGTTATATTACATCAGTAAATACTTAAATATGTGAATAAACTAATAAGAGGAAATGAAGTATTGTTTTCTTTCGTTACATATATGTATGTATGTATATTCCCTGAATATACCATATACATTCACTGAACATACCAGGTACATTCCCAGAACATACCATGAACATTCAGTGGATTAACTCTGACAGATTCCTGGGACATTCATGGAATGTTCATAATGTAACTCATGTATGTCCCAGGAATATGCATGCACATCACATGAATGTTCCAGACATATTCTGGGAATATCATTTTGCTATGTGGGTAATTTTCGTTAAAATCGACTTTTTGAGTTGAGCTCCTCATATCCCCCAGTGGAGCCATTCTTCCCCCCTTACCGGACCACCACATTGATGTTGTCCTCATTTTGGTTGTAGTTGGTTGTGATCTTGCGAAAACTGTTGTCCTCGTTGAGCCGCTCTACACTGCCACTCCTGAAACAGCCAATAAGCATCCAGACTCCACCTCCGGATCGCTCCACTCACTCGCTCTCATGCTTCCTCGTTCCCAACTGGCTCCTGCTTATTCCCGGCTCTGGACTCCCATTGGAGGAGTTACTCCAATTGCTTGAACTGGTCCTATCGGGAGACTTTGCCGCCGTCTCACTGAGCACCGGAGAGCTTCGCTGCTTCCTAATGGGCACTTTGCTGTTCATCTTAATCGGGTGGATTTATCGCCACCTGGCGATGGAATGTCTGGAAATTTTCCCCAGGTTCGTGCGTTTGTTGCGCAATATTCCGGCCGACTGAACCACCAAGGCCGGAGCGAAAGTCGCCCCCCATTGGTTGTCAAGGGCTATTGTGAGGCCTCGATTAATACAACATCGACCAAATCCGCGGGGGCTGCTGAAAAGTGTCCAAGTTCATAGCGAGCGATCAATCAATCAACGTATTCATTATCAAGGTGTATTTGTTTTGTGATTCGATGTGATTAAATTAGGGAAACATTCAATTCAGCCCTGCTTTTATATGGCCCCTTATGGGGAGGCGACGATCGATTTTCGGGGCCAAATTGAGTTCCTCGAACGTTTTTCTATTAGTTGATCTTTGATTGCGTCACCGCTGAAGTGGATTGATGTTGCTCAACGGTTTCTTTAGCCAATTCGTTTTAAATAATTATCCAAAGGAAGACTCATCGGCTGCTCTCAAAAAATTTTGCTTCAAATTGAGTTTTCCGGCCATTACGGCAACTAATTTCGTCCTTGATAATTACTACATTTTCAAACGCTCATGCAGATTGATTGTTTCAATTGCGCTTTAGAGTTTATGGTCGGGCAGATGCAATTTTCGGAGATTTTAGTTAAGTTAAGAATATCCTCGTTTTGTAGACAAGCCGGG